GCTCATTTCATAGCATTTAAGCCTATAATAGGATGCCTAGACCTTTTTATTTTTATTTTTTTTCGCCCTGTCGCTTCATATTTTTTCTGAATAAATCCGAGAACCAACAAATTAAATTGGTGTGGCCTAAGGTACTAAAGTTACCCTGTGCCATGGTGGTGAGGGCTTGTTTCTCCTCAGGGCTGAGGGTGAGCATGGTGGTGAGGACGGGGATGAGCTGCAGCTTCTCGTCTCCGGACGACAGCGTCAGGAACTTCAGCAGCACGTTCTTCAGGTACTCCAGGTTCGACACGGCGCGCTCTCGCTCCTGGTTACGCTCCAGACGACGGATCTCGTTCTTCAGGACCTGGGGGAAATTAACACGGATAGGACGTTAAATGGAGGTCCCGTGTTTGGGAGAGCCACACCCCACGCATGTTAAAGAACCCACCACTTATCGAAAAGAGTAGGGGATCTTCCCGGTGTGAGTGGTTCAAAACCTTACAGTCCGGTCTTACGCACATGTACAAAACTGGTGTGTACGCCTATAGCTAAAGGCGGTTTACCGGTTATGCGAAACAAACAAAAACAAACACAGTCACACATCCAGTGGAAAGAATTGTGGGGTCATTTGGTGTAAAGGTAGAGTGTTCGGCTCAGACCCAAGAGATGCCGGGTTCGAATCCTACTCAATACCGCTGATCTTGTGCCCTTGGGAAAGGCACTTTAGGCCCTTGGGAAAGGCACAGGACTTTGTCACTTCACTCAGGTGTAAATGAGTACCTGGCTTTGGTTAGGGATGGCCCTCAGATAGTACGTTAAATGGAGGTCCTCAAAATGTTTGCTTTGCTGCTCCCTCGACATAGTTGAATTGCACAGTCAATTTCACCAATACTGTTAATCCCTTATGTCAGAATTCTAGCATGTCTACAGTTTATAGATAATCCATCTACTGTGCTTAATACATTAAAACATTTCAAATAACACACTGGCTGAAGGAAAAGCTGACCTTAGTCTGTTCATTGAGTCGCATGATGGTGGCTTCACTCTCATGCAGCAGCTCACTCATGTGTTCTATCTTCTTGTGTGCAGCAGAAAGGCTGGCCTTCATGCTCTCTGTGTCCTCCAGAACACTGGAGTGTCTGGACAAGGTGATGATGCTGGGGCTACGGGTGCCTGAAATGTGAAAACAGTAACCATAGTCTAGACATAATTTGTCAGCATAACTTTTTGTGATGTTTTTCAAAGCAGTTTCCAATAATAGACACTGCATCATTATTTAAGATTAAACTTTGTGTGCCTGTTGGCTAATGGGGTCGTGTGGTGTAACAGCAGAGCATTCGGCTCAGAACCAAGAGGTCTCGGGTTCGAATCCTGCCATGTCACCAACCTTGTGTCCTTGGGTGACTAAGCACTTAACACAACTTTCCTCACTTCACTCAGGTATTAATGAGTATGGTGTAATATCATGGGCATTAAAAGAAAAACCAAAACCAAACAAAGTTTTCCAATCGTACAATGTACCTGAAATGACTTTATCGTCTGAAGCCAGAAGATCCTCCAGCGTGACGATGGAGGGAGTTGTGGAGACGGACGGTCCCGGTCCCGACGACACAGACTCCACCTCCGTGTTCTCCATCCCCTCCCCCTCCTCCCGCTCCACAGCTGCCATGTTGGATGCAGACCACGCCTGCACCTGGACATGGGCAAAAGGTACTTTAATGACGTTTCATCATCATCATCATCAATCATGCCTGTGGATTTAATCTGGTGAGGTACACTTGATAAAGTTACCCCAATACACCCTGTCCATCATGGCGGACACAAGAGCAGCCCCTGCAAGACCAGGGTCTCTCTCCCTAACACTGACAAAAGTGTAGTATATGGTCATCCCACATTACATACCCGAGTGAGAAGCCACTGTATGCGGTGTAATGATAATTATTGCATTATCATTATTGTTATTAGATGGCAAATGTTAGTAAGACAAGTAATTACTAGAGTAGTCAAAGAAGTGAATGTATGAAATAGTTGCTATAATCTGGAACAGTCTCCCAGACAATGTGGTCGGCCTGATCACTGACAACAACCTCCAGTCATTCAAAACAAGAGTACACCGGCATCTTCTTTCCACCATCAGGACTTCTACATGTAACGTTACATGTAGCTAGAGCCGTGCAGTTGCTGTGAACCAATGATTAGTCAGGAGTGTTATTTTTATGTTACAACCCAGGCTATTGTTTACATTAGCACATCATAGAAAAAAAAAAAAACAACAACAACCTGTTCCGGAGTCGGTGTGGTCATGATGGCGTGGCTGGGAGTGGGAGGGGGGCTGACGTGTCTGTCGGCTGCCCTCAGCTGTGCCAGCTCGGTCTCCGCTGTCTGCAGCTTCTCCTGGAGGCCGCCGACCTCCCGCTTGTGCTGTTCCTCCATCATGTTGATCCTCTCCTTGAAGGACAAGGTCACCGACTCGTTCTGCTGTTCCAGCTGTCTCACAGTCTGGGACTGTTCCTCGCGCCTGTTCTCCACCTCCGTCTGCAGGAACAAAGGACATGATGAAGGACATGATTATCATGAAGGACTGGTTCATCTGTAATGGTAGTTACATGATTAAAGTTAAAACTTTAGATCTACACTACATCCTGAGAGGGGTGAAAGAGGCTTATTCACATCAGAGCCCATCACCCTTCACTCAACTGTGACAGGCCCAGGGCTGAAATTGTCTACCAGACACCTTTGATCCAGTGTTGACGTCACACTTGACAGCCAGAGAAGCCACGTGACAAGCCTCACTGGGTCAGTCTACTGAAGGAGACCAGAGTGGCTGGTCAAAAGCTTAAAAGGTACTTCAAGGACTAATTCCACACAATTTGGGATTTCTTCCACACAATCTATGACTTACTAGTATTTCAGACATCATGTTACCAACACCCATTAAACTGATGAGAGTGGAACTGCAGTTCACCTGTAGTTTGTTGATCCTGGCCTGCCAGACCCTGTCCTTGTCCCTGAGCTGCTGGCTCAGTTGCGTGTGCTGCTTCTGCAGGTGGTCGTACTGCACCTGCAGCTCCTGCTGATCCTCCGCAGCCGCCTGCAGCTGCTCGGACAGTTCCTTCACCTGGCAAAAAAATGGCAATGACAATGAACTTTATTGCATATTCATGCCCAACATGCACTAAGTTAGATAACAAGGAACAGATTTTGAAACGTGTATGAACAAATTAACAAAGTTTTTCATTTACATTGTACCTCTGAGAGTTCCTTCACCTGATGAAAAAACAACAGTGCAGGGCTTGAGACACTGGGTGCATAACTGTGCACCTTAGTGCACCCAAATTTGGAGCTGTGCACCCAATTTTTTTGGTGGGTACACCAGTGCACCCAAATATTTTCGTAGGTTTTCCTAGGTAAAGATGTCTAATGTACGGTAGTATACAGCATGTTCTTAACATCAAAGTGTCAGAAAAAAGTTACTGTAAAAATCTACTTATTTACCCAGAAATATATATGGTGCACCCAGAAATGCTGATTTTTACTAAAAGACAAAGCTATCCTTACTAGGAAAGTTGAACAGGTACTTGTACTACCACCCGGGGAAGTTATGTCAAATAACAACCACAGGGACAGCAACATGAAGTAAACACAACAGGGACAGCAAGCCTCACCTTATGTTGTAGTTGTTGTGTTTGTCGCTCCAGCTGGAGTTTCTCCTGCTTGTCCATGTCGGCGGCCATCTGAGGCACGGCTGTCTTGGTCTTCTGTTTCAGCACGCTGTGCACCCTGACCTTGTAGCTGTCGTACTCCGCCCTGACCTGTAATGCGTGCAGTGTCATATGTGAAAATCTGACACACTTCATGTCATATGTCGTCACTCATTGTATATAACATCTGTGTCCATAATATCACCAGGGTCCATAATATCGCCACCTTGAGAAATAGTGTGCTTAAAGATATTTTTACTGCAACATACCCTAGGTATGTACATTTGATGTGTGAAGGAGTGCATACCAAAAGTATGTTGCAGTAAAAATATCTTTAAGCACACTATTTCTCAAGGTGGCGATATTATGGACCCTGGCGATATTATGGACACAGATGTTATATGACATGCCAGTCAATTTTAAATAAAACTGATACTGACCTCTGCTAGCTGTGTCTCCGCAGCGTCCCTCTCCTGTTCCAGGCTGCTGACCCTCCCCTCCAGCTTCTCTGCTGTCCTGCGCTGTACCTCGGCAGAGGACAGCACCTTCTGCTGTAGCTGCTGTGTCTCTGCCATGACCTGAGCCAGCTGTACCTTGTGTCCTTCAATCTCCTGCTGAGAGAACTCCAGCTGTCCACGTAGCGCAGCTTCCACCTTCCCTTTCTCAGTCTGTAGCTTCTTCCCCTCCTCTACGTCCCTCTTTGCCTTGATGAGTAGAGCTTTAAGTTTGCTGGCCCTCTCCTGTTCCTGCGTGAGGGACTCTTCTGTTGTCGTGACCTGCCTCATCAGTTGATGTATCCTTTCTTCTTTCCCTTCGATCTCGGAGTTAAGCGCAGAAATCTTGCTCTCATGTATAGCCACCTGTTGGTTAAGCTCGCTCACTGTACGCTCGTAGTCTGCGATTTCCAGATTCATGACGTTGCTCTGCTGGGCTTCCTGTAGTGCTCTCTCCAGGCGCTGTGTCGTGGCCTGGTGCTGCTTGTGCTCATCAGTCAGCTGTTTCTCCAACTGACCGATCTTCTCAACACTTTGCTCGCACTCTTTGGTTTTCTCTTCCTTCATAATCATCTGTGCATCTCTATCTTCTTCAGCTTGTGCAAGTTGCTTTTGTAGATCATGCACCCTACCTTCGAGATGCTGGTTGAGATCCGACATTGAGTCGTTCGTGGCTTGCAAATCTACAATCTGTGTCTTCAGCTGTGCATACTCCTGCTGTAGGTCCTCGTGCTGCTTTATTCTTTCCTCTAATTCCTTCTCAACTTTTTCCAAGTTAGCTGCAGTCTCTTCATAAGTCAGCTCAAGTTTTTCATACTCTCCCTGGAGCTGCTGCAGCTGGGAATCAGCGCCTGAATTTGCTGCTAGCTTTCCTTCTTGCTCCTTCTGGATGTCTTTCACTGACTGGAGCTCCTTGCTAAGCCTGGAGTTTTCCTTTCTTGACTCTTCAAGTTCTCGCTTGAGTTTGACAGCCATGGCTTTTAGTTTATGTGCAATTTCCTCCTTCTGTTTAAGATCTGACTTGACTTTTTGAAGATCACTCTGCAAACTGGCTGTCATCTGTGTCTGTTGTTCTTCTTTACTGTTCGAGACAACTTCCACATTCTTAGCTTCTTCTCTTTCATTTTGGAATTTCTCCTTCTCTGCTATAGCCTGGTCTCTTTCCCTTTGTATCCGTTCTACTTCAGCTAAAGCTTCCTCCTTTTCAGCTTGTATCTTTTCTTTGTCATTTATCAATTGCTCTTTTTCACTTTGCATTTCCTCTTTGTCAGCTATAGCCTGATCTCTCTCAATTTGCAGCTGTTCTATGTTAGCTATGACCTTGTCTTTCTCAGCCTGAAGCACTTTCATTTCGCCTAGCATTTGTTCATGTTTTCCCTCTAGCTCTTCTTTGACAGCTATCAGTTGATCTCTTTCCTTTTCTACCTCTTCTTTGACAGCTATGACTTGGTCTCTTTCTTTTTCTGTGTTGTCTTTGTCAGTTACGGCTTGATCTCTTTCAGCCTGCAACTGTTCCTTGGTGTGTGTAATCTGATCTTTCTCATTCTTGATCTGTTCTAACGTACAAAGTATTTCATTCTTCTCTTTCTGCAGTAGTTTAATGGTCTGGTCTTTCTCACTCTCATCCTGCTCGTTTAAGGACCTTTGCATCTCAATGAGCTGTTCTTTTGAAGCTACAGCCTTCTCCAATTCATGCTGTAGCTGTTCCTTAGCTGTCAAAATCTGGTCTTTCTCAGCTTGGAGCTGCTCGTTCTTTTCTACAGCCTGGTCCAGTTCCTGTTGTAGATGTTCCTTAGCTGTTAGGATCTGGTCTTTTTCAGCTTGAAGCTGTTCATTCTTTGCCAATGACTGGTCCATTTCCTTCTGAAGCTCTTCCTTCTCAGTCACAGCTTGATCCCTTTCAGTTTGGAGCTGCTCAGATGCAGCTTTAGCTTGGTCTCTCTCATGTTGCACCAGCTCTTTAGCAGCAGTTATCTGTTCTACCTCACACTGCAGGTTTCTCCTGCTAGTTTCACCTTCATCTCTTTCCTTCTGTAGCTCTTCCTTATCATGAACAGCTTGATCCCTCTCACTTTCTAGCTGTGTCTTTTCAGCTACAGCTTGGTCTTTGTCCTTTTCCAGCTGTTCCTTTACAGCTGATATCTGGTTGCACTCGCTTTGTAGCTGTTCTTTATCTGCTGCAGCTCGGTCTAACTCCTTCTTCAGCTGTTCAACATCTGCCAGAAGTTGATCTCTTTCTACCCTAAGTTGGTCCATGTCAGCCTTTTCCTGGTTTCTTTCGTCACTCTGCTCTTGGTCACCTTCTGCTTTCTCTGTATCCAGACTCTCCTTCTCTGATACAGCCTGATCCCTCTCTGTTTGCAGCTTCTGTCTGTCTACTTCAGCCTGGTCCCTGTCTTTCCTCAACTCACTGTTCTCGACTAGCACCTCATCTATCTTATTCTGCATCTCCTCTTTCTCAGCGACAGCTTGGTTCCTTTCAGCGCATAGCTGTTCTTTATCAGTGTGAAGTTGTTCTTTCTCATTTTCCAGCTGTTTCATCCTTGTCTTCAGCTGCTCACTGTCTGTCTGTGTCTGTTCTTTCTCTGTTTGAAGTTGATGTTTCTCCATTTGCAGCTGTTGATTTTCTGTTTGCAGCTTTTCCATTTCTGTTTGCAGCTGACCATTTTCCATTTCCACCTGCTCCTTTGCTGTTTGTAGTTGATCTTTCTCTGCTTTCAGCTGTTCTGTTTCTGTCTGTAGCTGTTCCTTTTCTACTTGCAGCTGTTGTTTTTCAACTTGTAGCTGTTCGTTCTCCGACTCTAATTGACTCGTCAGAGATGAAGCCTGCTCCCCATGGTTCTCTAATTGCTCTTTCTCTGACATAATATTTTGATATTGCATCTGTAGTTGCTCTTTCTCAGACAACGCCTGGTCCCTCTCTTCTTCAACATTTGCTTTTTCAGCTGTGATCTTCTCTATTTCCTGTTTTAGGTGTTCTTGCTGTTGCTCATGCTCTTTTTGGATCTGATCTACAGTGTTGCTGTGTGTTGACTCTAGCTCTTCTTTTACTTTTGCAATTGAGGCATCTGCAGCTTCCAGTTTTGCTGTCAATTCTTTCTGCACCATCTCTAGTTCCTCTACCTTCTGCTGCAGTGCTGTTCTCTCTTCCCTAAGTGTTGCAACCTCCTCTTGTCCCTCAGACTTCTCGCTGTCCATCTTTTCATAACCATCCCTCAGCTCTTTCTGCTGCTCTTCCAATGTGCTAATCTGTGATTTGCTGGCCTCCAGCTGTGTCTCAAGGTCACTCTTTGCTGTTTCGGCTGTCTCTACCTGTGTTCTAAGTTGTTCCATTGCTGTCGTTGCCTCTTGTAGCTTTCCCTGGAGGTCTTCTTGCTGTTCCTGTTTCTCAGTGATCATGCTGTCCAGCCTTTCCTTCATGACAGCTAACTCTTGCTGTGCGCTTGTCAGCGAATCCTTCAGTTTGCTGTTCTCAGTCGTTGCTGCCAACAGCTGTTGCTGCAAGTTCTGCTTTGCCTTCTTCACCTCGGCAAAGTCCTCGGCTTGGCTGTCTACCTGGTCCTTCCACTGCGACTTCTCCCGTTGGAGCTCCTCTACTTTCATCAAGGCGTTGTTCATCTCTCCCATCATCATTTCTCGCTCTTCCCTCATCTTGTTGCACTGTGTCTGCACATTCTGCAGGGACTGTTGACTCTTCTCCAGCTGTTGCTGCAGCTCTGACTTCCTTGACTGCAGCTCATCTTTCTGTGACTGCAGGCCATCTTTGTCTGTCTGTAGCTGATCTCTGTCAACTTGCAGCTGTTTTGTCTCCCTCTGAAGCCGAGCGTTTGCAGCCTTGAGTTCATCTCTCTCTGCTTGCAGCTGTTCTTTTTCTGTCTGCATCTCGGACAAAATCGCCTGGAAATGGAGGATGAAACTCTTAAGGTTCCTTAAGCTTGTCAGAAATGCATTGAATAGTAATTGCAAACAACATTAAACTAACCAATTTGTAGAGGCCTATTATAATGAGTGTTCTGGTTGATTGTTTTGATTGTCGATTAATATAACATACACTTGTACCAAACTGAATAAAACATTTACCTGGTCTTCCGTGTTGGAGTCTTTACTCGCGCCTGAAGAGTCCTCCTTCTCTTTCTTTAGTTTGACGAGTTCAGTGTTAAGTTCTAGGAAAAAAGATATTGATATCAATGCGATGTCCTCTAATAGCACAGACAAGATCCGTGTTATTTATTTTGATGTAGGAACCAGATATATTTTTGTGACCTTTATTCTCATGTATTCAACATCATGTATACTAATTTATCACACCATTCTATTCACATGAACGTCACAGGCTGAAAAGACAATGATCTAATACATGCACATGTACACCAACATATACACCAATTTCATAAGTCCTTCTCAGACTATGTGGTATATAGGGCGTCACACATCTCCAGTTCAATAGCACTTGGGCCACACAGTAGTGCAATCACTACAGCAGGGGGCTAGACCACTGGTAGTGGTGTGTGTTTAACTCCCATGCTCTTTTCCAAATCCCAAGTGCTAAGCTGAGAGAAACCAGTTGTACATACCTTCACATTTTGCCTTTGTCTTGTGCAAGATCATCAACTGCTTCTTCACATACTTGATGAGCTCTTCCTTGGGTAAGTTGTCAAGCTGTGGAGACAACAATGTTGTGTTGTTACTGTTAGAATTTGTCAATGTTTAAAATATTCACTGAAGATACATGTACATTGTAACTGTTAACTACCATACACTACATGTATAACTGAATATGTCAATAACATTCAAGTTGTTGGTGAGCAAATCACAAAATCAAGTTCTATTCTTTAAAGAAATTTTAAAACAGCCACACACTTAAAAGGAAATGGTTAAACAAAAACAGATCTATATATTGATGACATCCTTGTGTCAGACTGACTGTGTGCCGAGCTACATCCTGCATATCTGTCCACAACAACTGTTTCTATTGGATTGCCAGACAAAAACATTGATGCATACATGTATTTGTAAGGTTACGTGATGGGAGGTCACTAAAAGTCTATGAGATGGAGAGGTCACTAAAAGGCCATGAAAATAAAACAGCTACAAAAGTAGATCTACCATAATACAATTAGAAAAAGGGTGGAATCATCTTAACAAAATTTGCATTGGTAGCAGAAGCATGATGATTGAGTTTTTTTGCCACACTCCAATGGCACAGTTCCAACTTTCAACTTCAAGGGTAATACAGGTATACTAGTATTACCCGTAGTGTACATGTATTTCCAAGGATTTCAAAGCTTCCGGAAAATGCAAGAAAGTGGACGCAAGGAACAGATGTCAGAGGCCCACAGAGGATAAGGACACTACCCAGGACTACTGTTACAGATTCTGTGGCACAGCCTGCCAGACCAGAATTGGCTGTACCAATGTCCAGCCACGAGAGGCACTGCATAGCCAGATCCGCAGAGAGCGACTGGGAAGCTGTATACCGTCTGGCAAGACAACGAAGGGCCAGAGATTTTCAAGGAGGCTAATAGTAATACCAAGCATTTCCTTGGTATTTCTGAGCAGCTTACCTGTGACTTCCCACCTTTCCCTGCAGGCGAGGGTTGAGACGCGGGGCCGCCTCCCTGGCCCTGCTCAGCCATGGCGTTTACCTGGTCGTCCTAGCAACAGCTCTAAACACCTGCTGATAAAAGTCAACATGGGATTCAGGACAATCCTATCTAAATACACAGTACGTGACGTTGTGGTCAAATACAAAAGGGCACACTACACTGATAGCCATGGCATTTACCTAGTAGTCCCAGCTACATGTATAGCTCTAAACATCTGCTGATAAAAGTGAACATGGGATTCAGGAAACACCTTTTCAAGCTTGTTGGCAGAACGTACTGCGCCTTCGGAAAACCCTAATTTTTCACAGTTTTCATTGGATGTTTGGTCAATGTTGCATTAGACCCCGTTGTAGAGGATATCTTTTCCGACACAACATTTGGAAACTACAGACAGGATGTTAACCTTAATATACGCGAATACGACCTTATATGAGACGTTCTGCCGATCTTTACATGATGATGTGGCCAAACACAAAAGGGCACACTAGACATGAACCAGTTGTGTCCTGGTAATCTTCTAGGGTTCAGGAATGTCAGACTAATACTGTTGAATAATTTATCACCTGGCTGCCTTAACAGCAGTACTCTGTCTGTGTCTTATTGCCTGTTGTAATTTTGCCAATCAAATATGTCAGAGGCTTTTTATAGATACAAGGACAGTATCAATAGCAATACATCAGCTGGGTGATTCTATATATGTTTATTGATATTTGCTATAGTCATAAATTCTGCTGTAACAGTAAATGTGCAGTTTGGTCGGAATAAGACCATTTCTAATTCTTCACATCTTAACTGACAGCTTTTGAAAATGATAACCATTTTGACCTTTACACTGAATGGGATTCTCAAAGGTTCAACATACAGCTGATGCAACACCAGGGCTCAAAATCCCTCTTTTCTGCATATCTGCACTTGTTGTAATTGTGCTGGTAACATAGAACATTTGTACCTGCGCCAGACAAATTTTACATGCAATTATTTATTAATTACATGAATTTAGGAAGTATGGATCATACTAAACACTAATGCCATTACGGTATTTCTTTTATATTTTGTAGGTGGTGAGACTGAGAGTCAATGCAGCAAATAAAAATCCACATACATTACATGTAACAGTTATAACGTTATATAAGCCAAGTAACGTTACATGTTTATATGCATGGGCTCAATACAAAGGATGTTACAGCACAGTGAAAACAATGAATGACACAATTGATACCGGTAGAACCAGTCTGACAACCTGAACAGATAATAAGTATTTGCGTCATACTGACACAATAATTGAGGGTGTCCAGCCTAGTGACTGATTAACGATGTTTAATAAGGGTCATTATCATAATGAGAGATCTGTTTCTTGAGCATCTTAAACTCATTCACATGTTGTTTATACCTAGCCTGCATTTGAAATCATTTACACGTTTTGATTTGACAACTGACTGACACCCTTAACATAACTCCATGCTGACTTAGACTAAGTTAGTGCATACCAGTAATTCTGAGTCTACTAAATGTCATTTAGGTAAATGTTAGAAGTTAGGTGTGGTCTATGATCTCCAAGGAAACCTTCACACATAACGTCACTACACCATTTTACTTGTGCAATCACCCTTGTAATCTTTTGCCACAGGCTATCACGACTAGCAATGCCCCAATAATCCTAAAAAATCTTGCAAAACTCAAAATACACATTTAGACTAGTGTTATACCGTACTCTACATAGAGTTATAAATCTAAAGCAATAGAAGTATATTGTCATTATAATTCAAATGTATATAGTTGTCTTGTTGTCTAATTGTCTACGGTCGTTGACATTTGGATAACGACCTACTTTCTAGATAGGAATCTTGCTGTTTGGGCTGTCACAGCCCGCTTGCATGGGGAACTTACAATGGGGAAGTGCACCGTGGATAAACAAGTTCGTACGTGCTACCGATTTACACAAAGTACATATTACCACCCGCGGCTTCAAAACACAAGCTTGTGTACATAGTTATGTCTAGACCAATGAATTATACGTCAACAGCGTTATATTGTTTACCTTCGTACACGTCGCTCACGTACCGCCCCCCTCCCCACACCAACAACACCCGAGTAAAACTTACCTGTCGCTGTAATATAGGATCAAAGCTTGTAGCTAGGCTCAGCGACACATCGGCCGCCTTATACTGCTGACATTCCTCCTGTTTTACCGCGAAAATCGTTCATAAACTCGACACGTCACCAAGCAAAAATTTTCTTCGATCCGCCTCGGCCGTCGGCGCCCAGCTGATTGTAAACCTAGCGGTTCATTTGGTGCACGACACGATTCGCGGACACCTGAGATGGGCGTGACCACTACTGTAAGGGGGCGTGATAATTACAAAGTCTGCAGCTTCCCTGTTGCTAAAATAGAGACGCTGTGGGATAAACACCTGTCGTTGTAGGGTTTTTTTTCGACTAGAACTGCTGTCAAACCGGCTGCATAAAGATATAGATTATCATCCTAACCTTCTATGCTGGGTATATATCTAAGGCAAGGGGCCTTTTCTAGTAGCAGGGTTTCTCAGAATAGGCAGCAGAACAGTCCCTGCGGCAAGGTCCTTAAAACTAGGCTACAGAATGATATTTATCTCTGATAGTATATCTTACAGCACAGAATTGCCATGGTTACTGTATATCATATACATGTATTATTGAAATAAAAAAATGCAAATACATGTGTATATATATTTAAAAGTATGCCTAGCTTGCTTTTTTGGTGAATTTATGCTCTAGTTTCATCCAGACACCTGTTACCCATATATTCATGGCTTTTGAAATATCTGATCTTAGGTTGGTCTATGGGAGCCAAGGGATACTGGTGTGCAATTCGATGCAATTCGATTGTCTTTCCCCCATAGAAAATTCATTCTGCCTGGAGTTTAATTAAAATTCCAGATAATTAACTTATGATAAAGAATAACATACAGCATACTACCCTCACTCTCACCTTTAGAAGAGAACTAAGAGAGGAAAACACACTGAAAATTGTCCTGTGAATTGTAGGTCTGTATTTTGTTTAATTTGAACTTGAAAGAAAAGATACACCAAACAGATGGATTAATGTTATACTTAATTTGAAAATTAAAATATCTAAGGTATATCAGTACTTTTCCCATTTGTGGAGGAGCAACAGTGTCATATAAAGGTGGAATCACTGCAAGCTGTAATATGTTTGCTATTACATGTAATTATTATTGTGTATGGGGATTTTGACTGTCTTACACTTACAGTGCATGTTGATAACACAACAAGCCCCTTGGACACAATTTAACACATAGTCTTGTGTGAAAATACACACATAGCAAGAACCACATGTACATTGACAACTTTTACAATCTTTGTCATGTTTAATATCTTCTTTTTCTTCATATAACTATTACTATATACTCTGTAGAACCATTATTTTATAACTTCTCACAAAGAAACCAACTCAGCTACTTAAAACTTATCACACCATATACTACTGGATAGCTGTATTTGGAAACTGTAGGTTCAAGAAGGAATGCACAATTTATTGACATATCACTTGACATTAGGTCATTTCTATACCCACTATTAGGACTACAGTCACGAGTATATACAATCTTCTTCACAAGTAAATTGCGGTGTCCCATTGTTTCTACATACACACAAAAATATTTTAAAGTGTACTCTCTTTTATTATATTCAGATTTAGTTTTAACAAGGTCATAATACATCTATACATGACATTGACATGCCTCTACAGAGAAGCTTAGAAATTGAGCTGTTGTTAGGTACACAAAGTTTACGGACATCACACCTCTGTGTGACATCAGCAGTCCATGTGCACACAAGTTGGGTGTGTTACGCCGAAGGGCGGTTATACCGGCTTTACCGATACAGATACAGACCAGTGATGTCATCACTGACTCTACAGAGAAGTTTGGAAATTGAGCTGTTCTTTAGGTACACAAAATTTGCTGACATTGCAGATTTGTGTGACATCACCAGTCCTTGTGCACACAAGTTGGGTGGTCAGCTATGACATCACTGACTCTTGAGGAAGAGGGCGGCTCCACACTGCACCCACTGGTCCTGGTTGCCGCCACACGGCACCTTAACCTGGTTCACGATCCGGTCACGGTCGGCGCTGAAGTACAGCGGCAGCTGGATGACCTCTTCCTCTGGGTAGGGGTCGGCAGCCTGCACCAATCAGAAATAGTGTTACAGTACAAAGGTACGTTTGCAAAGCAAATGCATTACATAATGTTAACCTTCACGTATGGTCTGCTCTGTTAATTCTTACTGAAATCAAACACATTCATATATATGGTCAGACAGGAGTATAAATCCCTCCTGCTATAAAATTGCAACATGATGAAACCCAATACTAGTTACCATGGTGACAGACATCTTGTTCAGGTCATTGACCTTATTGGTTTGGAGAAGAAGAAGAGGAAACAGCGCAAAAACAATATGTTTTCATTACAGCACCATTTAAAGCTCTGGAACAACTTTCAGCACCAAGGACAGGGACAACACAACATTGTAGTCGATATGCTTTTAAATACATGTCACTGCCCAGTGGACAGGTTGGTACTGACCTTACTGTCAATCCAGGCCACAGTAAAGTTTGGTACGATGCAGACACTGGGGGAGTCTCGCTGGTTCTCTGACAGACGGCTTCCATTGAAGGAGCAACCCTCTAACATCAGCCCACCAATCTGTCATGGTGAGACAATGGCAAACATTGGAAACTAAGGCAACCATAAAATTTAGTATTCATCACAAAGCTACAAAGATTAGTGTCTAAAACTTGGTGCTACAAACTTTAAGATTCATGTCCAATATCTAGTGCCTTATCACACCGTATTTAGTGCCTTGGTTTGGAAAACATTAATTTTACTAATAGGCTTTTCAAGCAGTTTCAGCTACAACAGTTTAATGAACATACAACTGCAAAACAAGATGGTACTACTAGTAATCAGCCATCTTTTCATTCCATACACCTAACAGTATGTTGTTTAGAATACAACACATGTAGTTAGTATTGTGTTTACAGTACATGTAGATAGTATAACTGTATTCAATGTATTTCTGTGTGGTATCTCTAAAAGTGCCACCTGCATGGAGTGCCTTCAAATCAGTATCAGCCGTGCAGTTTCAGAATTATAACTGTCACAACGGAGTAGAAGGGTTAGAAATTTGAATGGCCATGTAATTAAAGGAACACCTTTCAGCACCAGGGACAGGGAAAACACAACACAACACACTGTAATACTAGAAAGGCCGACATTTGCTTGGGAGCAAATACAGCATATTTCAGTCCATCTCCTTCCCACGCAAAAGTGGACTACCCCAGTGCAAAACTGGCAAAGGTTCTCAAATAAATGAATTAAATAGTAGCTACAAGTATATGAGAACAAAGATGCAACAACAAGTACTTTGAATCTCGAAAGCTTTACTAATCTTATTACAGGTATGCAAAAACTAACAATCATGAGATTTGATACATTTTGAAGGTCTTAGGCACATAAAATTGAATGTGTGGGTCATTACGCACCACTTAGGTGCAATGTGACCTCAGGTAACCCGCAATGGAACACGTGTTCCATGGATGGAACCGGTCATTCTTTAGATAGAACATGGAACGGGTACAGCACTTTTGGCCCTTTTTTGCTGAAAATAGCTATTAAAGTCCCCCAAATGAGTCATTTGGAAGTGGTGTATGCCAAATATGTGACTGCTATTCTGTAGACACATGTTCAAGGTACCCTTATACCGAATTTCAGATCATTTGGTTGTAAAACCAGGGCTCAGGATCCAAAAATCCATTTTTTTCGCGAAAAATGCCCTAAAAAACCTTCATAAAAAATTTTCAAAGGCATGTATCAAAAAAATGAAAAAAACGCCTGGGGGTATTGGCCCACTCTACCTCCATGCCAAATTTCAAGTCATTTGGCTGAATGATGGCGGAGTTGAATCCCTCAGAGCGAGTGGCAGGAGAAGAAGAAGAAGAAGAAGGAGAAACATGAGGGAACACAATATATTTCATCCATACCATGGTATGGACTGAAATATAAATACTAGGATGCATTTCTTCTGTATCACATGACTGTTATAAGCTTTTTTTCACAGCACTCTAAGATGAAGTATCTAAAGTGCTGCTCACCTTCACAGCCAGCTTGGCGCCTGAGATGTTGCCCTTCCAGCTGCTGACAAACTTCAGACTGTCCATAGGACAGCGCAGGTCCCTACAGAATAACAGGATTTAGTCATGTTACTACAAAATGTATGTATACCGTCTGTTTGATAGCATAATCTATGCAATTCTTATCAGGGCTCTAGCCAGCTCAATTTTTTTTCCATTAGCCCAGGTTCTGTTCGGGGGAGCACAGTACACACAACAGTGCTTGCAATCCGGGTCCGGGGGCCTGCTCCTCTGGAAAATTTTGAGACTGAGGCAAATCAGAGTAATTGTTGGTGAACTTTTGTTGATAATTTTGCTCTACATGATAAACTGACAAATACAGTACCTTGCAGTCTGTTGTCTTAGTGCGTTGAGGAAGGTATCCGGGTGGAACAGTTCGGAGAGGTCCAGGATGTCCCTCAGCAGTGTCCCTGCCTCCGCCCTCTCCGCCCAGCCCTGGATAGCCATGGCCCGAGCCACCAGCGCACGGAGGTACTGCATGGGGTCTTCTGGGCCTTCCCACATGCTCTGCCAACCGCCTGGGGTCTGCAGGGGGAGAACAATAATATGTTGAGTGTCTTAAATTACAAGAGCCTATGACTAAATGAATTTGTCTGACTCCATTCTGTATTTACAAACTAGCTTGCAGATCCTCCTGCTGATCTACCCCTTTGTGAGATATGGAGATCAGGAGGAGGAAAGAGAAAAGAAAGACAAGAGCACAAAAAAGGCATCTGAACGCTAAGACTTCAACTTAAAAAACCTGCCTTATTCCTAGTGTTTGTTCTTAGATTCTAACATCTTAACGTAGCCGTTCAGACATCAAACGAACAATAACGTAATTGTTCGGACATTCCTTTTACACCTTTCTTATAGTGTCACACTGTACATACCTCCTGCCTGAGCAGTGACTTTGCCAGGGTCTGTACGTCAGATGTGAGCAGGCTGGTCCCACGGATCACGCGGCTGAGCGCGGCGAGCGACTGGTGCACGTTCTGCACCAGCTTGACAGACGAGAAGCGCTCCAGCTGGATGAAGGAGATGATGGGCTTGTCGGCCTGGTCACTCGGCGCAGCGATGCGCTGCTGCAGCAGCTGCGAGGCCTGCAAAGGGATAAGAGTTGGATTTGACATAATGATTGTATTAACTGCCTTGAATTAACTATTTCCACTACAAGTGCACTATATACTATATACACTAGATAAAAAATAATTCTTGAGTCTTAAAATAAAGACTTGTAGTACACAGAAAAAGTACTGTGTTAAGCAACATCTTAGCTGCACTTCAACATCTTAGCTGCATTTTCTTGACAGATCAACAGAGGGCAGCACATTGTTGAATTGTCTTGAAGTAGATTTCGACTTGGGTCTATAACAAAACTCATTGGCATCTTCCTATAGGTCTAGGCCTATCTAGAGACAAAAATGTCTCTAGATAGGCCAACCCATTCAAAATGATTAAGCACCCTATCAGAAACCAACTGATGAACCAACAAATCAATCAACATACACAACAATGAAACAAAAAACAACCAACAACAGAAACGTAGGTGACAACATTCCAACATTGCCAGCGTCACTTAAAGAATGAGATCTCATAAAGTTAGAAGGGCCCTAAAGTGCCCAACAATGTCGTAACATCATACACTGGTGGGAGAAGAACATGATGGGAGAAGAAGAACACCTGAAGATGTCAGAAATGAACTGTTGTAACGACAATGAACAATTCCAGGGTTAGCCATTTAAAATATTCTTGTTCATGTAACTAGTTGGGCAACCCTGGCTGTCTTTTGTACAGCTGAACCAATGAAACAAATAAAACAATGAACAATAAACATGGTGAACGAAGTCTACTGGTACTTGACTTGCCTGCAGTCCTGCCATTAGTCTCATTGCCTGCACTATGAAATGCTTATCGGGCAAAACTCCATGCTCCAAGTGATGGCCTTTGATCTAATGTTAGGGAATTCACAGCTTATTTTCTAAGCTAAACAACTGCACGAATATCTAACAATGTCTTCCTTACACTCTTGATCATGCATGTATTATGAAAGTGAACTGTTGCCATCAGAAATTGTCAAACATGTACTCTTGGGGAATTGAAAAAAGTCTACTACTGGTCTGTATAGAATTCAATGATGTAGACCTATTAACTGAGTAATCAAAAAACATAACGAAAACTTTCTTCCCAATATGCCTATCTAGGGGCCGCACCAATTTTACTTCTTCATTCTCAAGCAAACAAAACTGTGAGGAAAACTTGACTATATTGACATCCTGGAACAGTTTGAAGCAAGGTATAGTCTGCTTTCCTTCTAATCTACCAGCTTGGTATAAATTTGTAAGAGAATCAATAAATAAAATTAGTGGGTTGTTTCTTTTTCTTTATGATAGCCCCCTGCCATGTGACACAGACCTGGTTGAGTTTTTTCCACAGGTTGAGGATCGGCGACAGTTCCGTGGACCACGTCTCCCGATCAAACTTCTCTGCAGCTGCCTCAGACCTCATCAGCACTTTTAGCTGACCGATCACCTGCACAAGCATAATTCGGTTAACTCTGTCAGTATACAGGTTTTCAAGATGATTTTATTGAACATTGCAGTGGGAACGCTGAATTACGTCCAATCTACATACATTGTGACAATGCAGCCCCTCTTGAACTCAGTGATGTATCCCAACACCAGTTACCACCGTGAAAGACGTCTGGTTCAGGTCATTGACCTTTTGTGTTTGGAGAAGAGGAAACTGAGCAAAAACAATATGTTTTCCTTCAGTAAACATAAAAATAAATCACCTGTCCGCTGATGATTCGCTGGGCAGACCGCTCGATGTTAGCGGGGAGCCCGAAGTACGCAGGTTTGTCGTCCTCTGGAAGGCCCTCAATCACGTCCTGGTAGTCCTGTTGGGAGATAATAAGAGACAGTTGTTTTGAAACCGTAATACAAATTGCATTTTTCAAGAAAATTGTAAGCTAAGGCCACACCAATTTAATTTCTTGGTTAACGGATTTGCCGCTTCATTTTTTTCTGATTTGCAAATAAAAATTCAGAATCAACTGCAAAATGCTTATATTTTGCCCTGAACAGTTGAAAACAGTCCTTTTCTTACTACTTGTTACAGTCATTCCATCTTTCAATGCAGTAGTATCATTAAAAGTTCAAAATTCATTGTTTAAATTTTGAACCAGCCTGGTGTGTTGACTTCATGGCTCCTATCGTACCATTTTGGGCCATAATAGGATGCCTAGGCCTGGTTTTATTTTTTTTTTTTTTTCGCCCGCCCGCTCCATTATTTTTCTAGAAAAATCCGTTAACCAAGAAATTAAATTGGTGTGGCCTAACAGTATTTTTATTTATCGGTTTGGCTATTTAGCCCTTACAGCCAGAGCAGCCCAACTAGCTTGGGATGGCAAAGGGCTTGCCCTGCTGACAAGACATGACAAAAACATTGTGGCAGCATATAAGGTGGCTTAACAATCTACAAACTATTACATTTTTAAAACATTCTTTCTACTCTACAAGTGTAACTTTTTGAATGCATATTTGGTCCTTTGGTGCAACCTTTCAGTGAAGCACGCCAGTTTTGTAGGCATGTGGTAGCAGCAAGTTTACAGCTGGACTTAAATATATATTATAACCAAACAAACAAACAAACAAACAAACAAATATAATACAGAATCCGATATATCTTTTACCCACCCCATAGTGGCATGATGAAGGCATGGAGACCCCCGGTGCCAGCCTCTTCCCCCTCCCCCGGGAGCTACTGCCGGCCAGCAGGGACTTGTCGAAGTACTGCACCAGGTAGGAGTGCAGCACAGACATGTCACAGTTGTTGTCCACACGGCCCCCGTAGATCGCATTCTCCAACAGACCGTGGACAAACTCCCACGGCACTTCCCGCTGGTCTGGTTGTGATAGGACAAAATCGATTCATTTGATTAATGCCAAGACAGCCATCACAAATGGTAGAAAACTTCTACATAATAAAACAGCTACATGTTCATATCAATGGCTAAGCTCAGTATTTCAAAGATACATGCCTGTGCTTACTTCCAAAACACCCCAAGACTTAAAGTCTTTCAAGTAATGGTTATGTGTTTATAGTTTATTTATTTGCCTAAGGGTTGTGGCCCATATCTGTACTTAAGCTGCTATGAAATAACCAAAAGAGTAGGATTGAAAACTGATCTTACTGTTCAATGGTCATCGTTTTTCATGTCTTGAAAGCATATCATTGAAAGATTCTAAGATTTACATGTACAACGTCATGTACATGCTATAATACATATAAGTGACTGTATGTTATAAATTGTAAAGTCTTGCATCTCTTACCAGTAAAGAGGCGATCAATGATATCTGCTGCTGCTCGCAGGTCTGCTGTGGAGTACTCATAAAACTTGGTCCAGCCCTGGAGGTACAATATCATATACGGTAGATTGTAGCCAAACAAATACCATACTTTTAGTAATCAAAATTATGAACAAAGTAATTTCTACACATTCAATTTAGAGAAATAATAGGTTATTTCAGGCAGAAGATATGCAGACAGACCTGTTATCTGATTGCCTGTGTCCTAACATTTGTTGTCCTTTAGTATACACGTGTGTATTTCAAATCTAGGCATCTTGTTTCTTTCAGCCCTTCTTGTACTTTTTCACACTCTCACATTACACTTAGGGTCTCCGGAGGACGTCAAAATAAAATTACTTGATGTGGCCTAATAGTTAAACGTGCTGTTGAAGCACACCCCTCCACCATACCTGAGGGATATAGTTCCTGCGTTCCTGACAGACGGCGTGGAACCAGGCCAGGGCGAAGAACGCCTGGGAGCGCACCACATTCCCGCCCTTAGCGATGAACTCAGGAGGCCAGGCGTCGTACGTACGCTGCAGGTTCTTCTTGATACCAGGTGGTGCCTGGAGGAGAGAGAGGCATTGCGATCATATAATCTGTATCTGTATAGCCGGTATAACCACCCTTCAGCGTAACACACCAGCTTCTGTATCTGCATAGCCGGTATAACCGCCTTTCAGCGTAACACACCAACTTCTGTATCTGTATAGCCGGTATAACCGCCCTTCAGCGTAACAAACCAGCTTCGCAGGCATGCGGTGAGGCGACAGCTGTCTACATTACACTTGTTACACCTAATCCTTGAACATAGAACTCTAGACCGCCTACAAGGTAAGATGTCACACGGTATATGATAAACATTCAAAAAGAAAAATGTTCTAAGTTTCACACCTCGAAGGTGATCTTGAGACTGGACTGCAGCAGGATGGTGGGGAACTGGGAGTGAACCTCAGCCGTCATCCACAGACGGAAGTCCTGGTGCGGCTGGAGACTGTTCAACTCCTGATGGGTAAAGGTTCAGAACAGTTAGCCACAAATACATTCATAGCATACTCACACTAGTTCTTGGTGTGCTCTTTTGTAAACGACACTGATACTAGTAACTTAAAGGCAATTGCCAAGCACATAGTATTTCAATATACATGGTATGCCAGAGAACTGTGTTCTGATTCCTTGCACATTATCATCATCATACTCGCACAATTGCTAATTCTTGGTGTGCTCTTCTGTAAACGACAATGGATGACTTCTTCTGACACCTTTAATTTTTCACTTCTCAATTTGACTTCTTGTTAATGTAATTACTATTATTTACTACTCTGTTTGGGCATATTTGTCCATTTTCTATTATTTGATTATGGATTTTGTTGTATCTATGTGCAAATAAGAAAAAAAAATCAAACCTTCTCTAAGACCGGCAGCCATGCAGTGACCAGGTGCAGGTTCTTGAGACACATCCACTCCCCGTTCCTGGCACACTCGTGTAGCAGCTGCAGGGCTACGTCAGCCTGGCCCTGCCCCATGGCAACCTGCAGGATACCACAAACAACAACACTGAGCCATACATATCAGGGTTCTCCAGCCAACACTTAACAGAAACGGTGGACGATATAAACTCCCTGGCACTTTTGATCGGTTGCTGACGTCACGTATCTGTAAAGACTTGTGTGAATAAGGTCATGTGTCTGTAACTGTAACTGTGTGGCGTAACCTACTTCGGTTAGGGATGTCCCTCGGGTAGGACTTCAAATGGAGGTCCCGTGTTTGGGGAGAGCCACATCCCAGGCATGTTAAAGAACCCACTGCACTTATCGAAAAGAGTAGGGGACCCTCCCAGTGTGAGTGGTTCAAACCTTCAAGTCCAGTCTTACACAGCTTGTACTTACACGTACAGAACTGGTGTGCTACACCTAAAAAAGGTGGTTACGGAAACAAACAAAAAATGTACATACCTGATGGTAGCGGTCAGCCCCTACAGTAGCGGAGGCCAGCTCCTGTAGCTCCTGCGATGGGTCCGCTCCAGGAGAGATGATGATGAGGATGGGCTCTGTCGACGTCGTCTCCGTACTGTACAGCCTCTTCAGGTTCAACGTCTTGGGGGAAAGTTCCTTCATATCTGGGGTAGTAGTGAGGAAGCATCAAATGTATTAATTCAACTTCAAGAGTTTTGCTCCTTTAATTACAACGATTTTATAAAATTTTGGCTATATGATAACTTATGAATCAGTAGTTGGGTCTCTGTACTGTACAGCCTCTTCAGGTTCAGAGTCTTGGGGGAAAGTTCCTTCATATCTGGGGTAGTGAGGAAGCATCAAATGCATTTATTTAGTATATATATTACTTCAAGAGGTTTGCTCCTTTAATAACAATGACTATGTATAGGAATTTTTGGCTATATCATAACTTTTGAATCAGAAGTTGGGTCTCTGTACTGTACAATCTCTTCAGGTTCAATGTCTTGGGAGAAAGTTCCTTCATATCTACGGTAGTGAGGAAGCATTAAATATATTACTTCAAGAGTTTTGCTCCTTCAATTACAGTGCTTAAAGTATAGGAACTTTTGGCTAGAGCATCCAATGTATTAGAGTTTGGGAATGCATCTACATGTACAGCAGCGACACCTGTGCTGTGCAATGTGAACCAGTCAGAATTGCCTTGAGGAAGGTGACAGACGGTCACTGAAACGTCTGCTGAATAAAATACTTGGTTGTGTACAAAAGTAACTTTTGAATCAGTAGTTGCATTCAACTGGAAGAGTGGAAAGCCAGTCTAATGTACATGCTTACATAGAAGAGATCTTGAGACTGCTAACAATCAGAGTGGAAGGTAAAACTCGTACTCTTTTTGAAACATTATAAAATCATGAACATCTTTAATAGCCACAAACTAATACAGGTTTGTAGGGTGCAGTTAAAGTGTAGGACTGGTGAATAGTGGAATCTTTTATAAAAATTGCCACCCAGTGAGTGGAAATACCTTCTGATACTGATGTCCAAAATATTCAATGCAGGTGACAAAAAATGGGAATAACAAAACATCAACAAAATGAGAATAGATTTTGTTATGAAAGACCATGAGACAAGAACACCCTGGCTACGTGTTACTACAATTGTGCTGTCCCAATGGCGTTCACCAGAAAATGACAAATCAACAGTTACTGTGATTAAAACTGGAATAAAAATTACACGGCATAGGAATGATTAAGTTACATTATTGTCTTACTAGACTAGAAGTTTGCATAGTGAGAAACTAGCAATTTGAAATATTGTATTCTGTTACAGAAGTAAACTTTTTATGTACTATATTAGTTTGTTGTATCATTTTGAAGCATTTTTTATTTTTATGAGCAATGTATCAATATTTTAACATAATTCTTCTAAAGTTAGTTTGTACATTTGTTTTCTACTTTGTTTATGCATGCAGGGCACATTGAAAATTGCTAACATGGCAACATGTAACCCCTGGTTAAATAAATAAAATGAAATAAAAATAAAATTATCCACAGATGTAAGCAGTACTTACTGAGAGCCTTGTGAGCAAACAGACTCATAGCACTCTGTAGTCTGTCAGGGCGGATGGTCTGTACCAGCAGGACCTACAACAACAACAACCTGTTCAGCATATTCTGTGTGATCTGAAGAAAGATTTGAGGTACATGTACCTCTCAAGTGTTTCAATGCCGAAAAAGGCATGATCAGAGAAGACAGAGTGACTTGACCGTACACCTGGGCCAGAAACACATAGTATTACATGTATGCACAAGTAACACACACATCAAGTATACATGGATACATATTTATCAACCTTACAACTTTAACAAGCATGCTATTAACAGCAAATCATGACAATTACTCATGTATTAAAACTCGCATTTTACTGACCTGAAATTGTGAGAAAGTCCTGAGCACTGAGATGTATCACATCTACATGAATTTGGTAACAAATGATACTGAGCGAGTAGTAAGAAGTTTCCTTACCTGTTGGAAGAGGGAGATCTTGTTTGCGATGGGCGGTGGGAACTCCTGCTCACACTGAGAGCTGCGAGAGAAGTTCAGCCACAGGTCACTGTCCTCCAAGTTCAAGGTCTGGTGCAGGCTGGGGAAGTTTGTCTGAGGACAGAGACACATGGTTTATTTGTGAGCCAAATTACTCCTGACATACATGTAGTTGATTGTATATAAACTTACAAATTGTAACACAGTCAAACTTGTATCCAACGACCACTCATGGGACCAAGGAAATATGGTTGTTAACTGGGCTTGGTTGTTTTGACTGGGCTTGGTTGTTGGATTATGAAAACTGGGTGATTGGTTGGAATAATGATACTGAGTCTCACAATAGGCTCTAAGTATTACTATTCACTACAATATTATTGTATCTTTTATCAAGAAACCATTATAATGATGAAGCACACAAGTTTTCACCTGCAACAGTGGTGCCTAATGTTGTAATAATTCAGTACTACCTATTCACATGACTGAAATCTGTAAAATTTTCAATGGGAATTTCTTATTGTTTCTTGCTATTTTACCAATGCTTGGAGCTCCTAGATATTATTATTATAATAGATACCTTTTTTAAATACGTACATGTATAATCTGTATTCAAAAAGGGTATCTAATAAACATATCTAAGGGCTCCAAGATGCAAGATTGTAGAAGACTTTGAGAAAATGACACCAAGGTTAATACAATGTAAATCATTGCACGTTTACAACAAGTGGTTTGTTTACCTTGAGTTGATGAACATCTGTAGCTCGTTCCTGGTCGATCCATGACGGGAGAGAATCTCTCAGCTGTTTCTGGGAGTCCTGCAGTTCATTAGGAAGTAATTAAAGTAATTAGTGATTTGTTGTGGTTTGACATAATCCTGTAATCACGTGTGAACTTGTCTAATTGCGAAGGTCTGGCTTCCTCTAACCCCCTGGGTACCTCATGTTTTATGCATGGGACTCTGTGAATTATGTATTCTGTGCTAACGAAAAAACAACTGGGCAGGTATCCCAGCACAAGAGACCCTTTAAATGGTCACAATATTTCCATGATTATAGGGGCTGGCGCAATGGGAGACAAATAATAAAAATTTTGAGGAATGATTGGACCAGGATCTTTGGCTGGTTTTTTTTAATTGAGTTTCAACCATTGCAAAAAAACATCTTCTATATAGTCTATAGATATTCAAACTTGTAAGTCCTACCAAGAAGATGATAGCAAAGAAATGTGGACTAGTATATTGGCTAGTATCTTAGCAGGGTTCTCAGTGTCTCCTGTAAATGTCGGGCTCAGTTCTCACCTGCCTCCTGAAGGTGTCTGAGATGATGAGACCCAGGAACATCTCCCACTCCTGGACAATCAAGAACACAAACCACTCATTCATAAATGTCAAGGAAACAAACTTACACCAGTGCAGGTAGTCAGAAAAACTACCAATATCTCAATCCCTGTGTTAAGGGAAGAGGAGGAAGACACAGAAACGCACCAATGAGTTACTGGTTCTAAACTCGGTTATTTAAAACTTTGGAACGTTCATGAATGATGAATGGCCGGTCCCCTCCGTTAAACGTAGCAATAGTTTGACATACATAAGTTTGACTGTCAGCTATACTATTCTTTCTTGTCAGAGGTCCAGTTCCTATGTATGCTATCGGTCACAAAGTTCAGATCTTCAAATAAGTGAATGCAATAGTTCAACATTCGTAACTTCGACTGTCTGCTACACCTGAAATCACAAAGCTATAGAGACAGGGGAGACTGACCTGTTCCTGGAAGAGCTCAGGGTGCATGCCGTGGACCAGGTGGATGGCAAACATCAGGCGGTCCGCCTGGAGGGGAAGACGAGATTGGTATAAAAATAACATATTAGCTATATACAGATGTATGATAGGAATATGATTCTCATTAGTAAAACTATCAAACTAACTTTCCACATGTACAGTCATGTATTTATTAGTAAACTTTTTAAATTCCAAAGCTTTAATTAAGGGCTATCATGTGGTGGAAATTGACAGGATTGGACCATAGCTGTAATGATTTCTTTGACATTTAATTTATTACTGAAACCTTAAAGTCTTTTATTGATGTAGATGAAAGAAATTGTAAGAGTTTTAAGAAAATCTACAAATTTGAAATCTCAGCAATAACCTACTTAGTTAAATACATGAAACCTATGAATAAGGCATGTGAAAGAACCTTTACAACAGTACATAATTTTTTATTCACGGTGAATTTGTGTACAATAGAAACTTGTGTTCAAACCATCTATTTATAGACCCAATGATGGGCCGACTGCTGTGACCAAAGTCTATCCAAACTCAATACCTACAAAGCCAACATGCTGGCTATGATCTTAAAATAGCCTAGAGGTCCTTTGGTCACTTCTGAGGTCACTTCAGCTGTATTGTAGACCACTGGACCATGTACATGTGTGGATAATCGGTTTAACACCAATTATATCATCATTGGGGAAGGCACTTCAAACAGTTTTCCTCACTGGATGCAGGTAAAAAATGAGTACTACCTGACTTTGGCTAGGCAACTCCTCTAGAATGGGACATGAAGCAGATGTCTCATGTTTGAGGAGAGTTAAACCTTGTGCATGTTAAGAAACCCAACACACTTATAATCTATGATATGTGTCCTCGGACACTAGTTTGTGTGACAAAATCAACCCTATCAGTCTGGTTTTACCAAGTTTGTATTTACCGAACAAAACAAGTCTGAGGTTTTATTCCAGAAGGCTGTCCACCAATTATGTGATACAAACAAACAAACAAACAAACAAACAAACAACAGAAACCTAGAGTTTACATCATGTATCCACGAGATAATGGTTTGTCAAATAGTCCCTCTTGAGGCAATTATTGACATTTTGAGTTTCAAGTTCAAATTGTCAAACCTAGCTAAGATGAAGTTCTGTGTGTGCCAAAAATGAAACCTATTCAATGTCATTTCCAAACCTCTCGGAAACCCATGCACGTAACATCTGCAATTACTGCTGAAATTCATGAATGTAAAGTAGGCATTTTAGGGGAAATAGTCCCAAATAGTATGTGACCACAGAGAAAGGTCAATGACCTCTGTTATGATTTGCCCAGAGAAACAGTCTCACAAACAGTTTGCAAATGGTTTGTCCTTAGAACCTCCTTGGTCCTTCCAAGGTCGTTTAAAGTTGAGATTCATTTTCCTTGACCTTCAAAAGCCAATAAAGGAATATTCTTTCCTTGAACTCAAAGTGAATTACACAATAATCATGTATAACAAGCACAATGTAATGCCTCTCATACTTTTTGGCACTGTTAAAGCTGACAGTTTTGAAATTTACTGTTAACAGTATGTTTCATCTCATCATGAAAGTTCATCTGTGTTGGTAGTAATCATAAAATGTTGAACTTTATTCCAAGAATTTCCAACACAAAGATTAAACAGAACTCAAATTTCTAACAACCACTGTTGCCTTCATCAGGATAATTAATGGCCAATTACTTCAAAATGTTATGTTTCACATCAGTATGTTTCATCATCAATGACATGTCACTTTTGCTGTGCATGTGATGGAAGATACAGTCCACTTTGATTCAGAGATGTACCCATTTTTCTCACCAGATCCCCAGACTCAGAGTTAAACCATCCAGCTTCAATGGCACATATAAATATTCCATGGCTGTCGGCTGTGTAATTAACGTGATTAGCCACGCCATTCACACCTCGTGTAGCGCAGTTTTCCACTTCAATGACATCTGCTGGTCATTTGACAATCCCTCATTGTGGAGGGTCACAGTACTGATTAGATCAAATCTGCACATTAGAATGCCAAAGAGGGTTTGACGTCAGCAGGCCCCGAGGCTCCCCACGGGCGAACCACAGACTCAGCACATGAGGACCGGGGAGGACAATGGTCGCCACGGAGATCTAATTGGTTACCCCGGCAACGGGAGAGCCGAGGAACCAATGCCGTGAAAGCCTTGAAAGAGCAAGTACGAGCCCATCCTCATGCACAACTCCCTGAGCCACTTGTCGGGAGATCGCAGTGCCGAATTGCTTCCCATCAGAGCAAGGGCAGTCAGTCCAGAGGACGTGTGGGAGACTGCGGATCCTTCCAGACCTGACTGTGGAGGCAGCGCGGCCGTGGTGAAGCTTCCCTCTCTGCTAGCGGAAGATTTTCTCTCATTCTGAAGTTCATCATTCAAAGGTAGGAGCTTTTTTAATGCCTTGATATCTATACTATAGTAGATGGATTTTGCCCATGATACTGTATTTTCCCTCTCTGCATGTGGAAGTTTTTCTCTCAATCCCGAAGTTTGTCATTCAAAGGTAGGAACTTTTTTATGCCTTAAAGTTGCCCTAAGTATTTGACAGGCCGATAGTACGCTGGGAGCATTACATTTCAAAAGTCGTTTTTTGGTCACTTTTTAAAGTCGAAAGTTGAATCAATCCTATCCTACCCATACCTCATTTTTATGCCTTAAAAGTGCCCCTAAGCATTATCAGGCCGATAGTAATGCTGGGAATATTAGATTTCAAAAGTTGGTTTTTCTCACTTTTTCACGTAGTAAGTTGAATCGACCCTGTCCTACCCCACACCTATAGTTGATGAAGTTTTCCAGTGACTGTGTGTTTTATGATGTACTTCAACCCACAAAATCTCATTCAACTCATCACTATGATAGAAATAGCACTCTTGCTATATGTAAAGTAACTTAGACTAATTCTTCTTGTCTATATTGGAGCTGGAGTATTGGAAAGTTACAGAAGTTACTGATTTGCCATCATTTAAAGGGGTTTGTCACTATGTTTTTCTGATCAAACACACTGACAATGTAAATGAACTGTGTGGAAGATTATCACTTTTATGGAGTCTGGTAAAGAGTTTATATAGGCAAGGACTCTGTTTACAGACAGCAGGTTTTATGTGCTAGCGTCAAACAGTCCCAACAATGGGAAAAGATTCACGAGGATCCCTGAGGAATCGTCATGGAACTGATTTGAGAATTTTTTTGGAGTTGGAAACATTTTGGGAATTTGGATTTGAAAACAATTTGGGATTTGGGAAAAAGTTGGGAAATGCTGCTCTGAGTTTAGCATTTAGTATAAATGCTTCATTCTTTACTTATTATGTGGTTCTATACTTATTGGATGGTTCAGACTTTTTCCTTGCATTAGTTTGGAGAAAACTTTCAGCTACATGCTACAGAGTAAGTTAGAAGAATTTTATGGCGCAAATGTATGAAAGAAATAGTCATGTTGAGCTGATATGTGTGTTAATTGCACCCAAAGCAGTTTCAGGGCAGTAAGACTGGATTTTCAAAGTCAATTTCCTGGTCATTTTTTGTAACAGTTAGTATGAATCAACCCAGATTTCAAAGTACACATGTATACTGATATCTGTGCAAAGTTGCTGACGGAAAACAGTTGCCTGTTTTGTATCCTTAGCTAATGTTCTTGCTCTTTGTTCCTCACGTAGCTTGTTTTTTTACTATTTCAAATGCTTCAATGTATCAAATGATGACAATATGTGCTGTCACTGTAGTAAATATCAATCAGATGGACTTATGCAAGATACTTCTTGTTTTGCTGCCCTGAAATTGCATTGGATCCCTTAATCTACGGCTTTCAAAGGTCTAGCCATTCGGCACCAAATTTGTAGTTATTCGGTTAGGTAGCCAGGAGAAGATTAATCTTAATGGTTTAAGTTGCTGGAGGATCTGTTGAATTTTATCTTTTTACACTGAGGGCTGGGCTCCATGTGTGTGGCAAATGTCTTTGGTTTTTGATCACTTCACATTGATTTGGTCTAAGACTGGCATCTGAAACAGAGATGATTATGAATCCAAAAAGACTATAATTGAAATCTCAAGTTAGTAAAGTCTATCTGTTTAGAGAAAGAACTCCCACCCATATATAGAAAAAGATATTTTTCACACCAATTACATGAGGTAATGAGTCATAATGAATAACAAATATTTTCCTTGTGCTTCAGTTACGTGTGATGAATGAAAATGATGAATAACTAATTAGGCTTACAAAACAAATGTTTTGCCTTTCACACCCCTGCATTATTTTATCTAAATCCTGTATAACATTACAGTCTCTAGCAATCTCAGAAAACATACTGAGAACAAAGTACAGAATCTGATGTTTGTGTGATACAACCTTCAAAACAGCAATCAGCCTTGCTGGATTCAAATGCTAAAACGTTCAAATGACAGGAGAATATCTTCAATGGAACATTTCATATTGTAGAAATAAATCCTCAGAAGATTAGCAAGTAGTTTCTTTGAAAAAACGTTTCTATTATTTTTGAAAGTAAGCTATGTTTATACTCCATGCTACATCTAGATCATTTTGTATCAAAGAGGTGACTACAACCTAATTTTCATAAGGAGAAACTTTAGTCTTGTCTTTTCCTGCACCTTTTTTTTTCATTTTCAGGGTGTCTTGGGACTGTCATGCACAAGATTAGGTCAGCATGGCTTAAAAGAAAGCAACATAATTTCACAGAAATTAAAGATTCATGAAGAAAAACTTGGGCATGTTCCAAGAAACCCTGATGACTCATGCCGTGTGTACCTCTTGGTACTGGGGTGGAGGTTGGGCAGTCTATGGTTCATGGTTTATTGTTTAAACGAAATCCATTAGTGACAGTACATATACATGACTTCACTACTCTTCCTGGAGTCTTAAGTTGTAACATGTACATGACATATGCTCATGCTCATAAGAACATGGTTCCCAGAGTCGCCCGCTTCATATTTCTGATTTGCAAAAAAAAAAATTCAGTCTCGGAGTCAACTCCAAAATGCTCGTATTTTGGTTGAAGGAGGTC